TCCCCCCCCCCCCCCGCTTCGCCCACTGCCGCGCGTCGAATTGTTTTTCTTTCTACCTGTGTACGGCACGTCCCCGTTTTTTTTTAATTATCTGTGCGTCACAGCAGTGATCAGGAACGGTCCGAGTCTAGAGACAACGGAGCTGATAAGCACACGGCGAGCGGTCACGAAACTGTCCGCCCCAGCTGATGGACGCTTTCTGCAAATACAAAACTTTCATGCCCAATGACATGCACACAATTTTCGAGGGACGACGACAGGATTTGCTGTCGCCATGGCTTTCGCGAAGGGCCATTCATCACCGTCATGTCGCAGGTTTCTGGAAAACCGAAAAGAAGACTTGTCGTCCAGAAAAGATTGTGACTATTTACACAACATGGTAGCACTCCCCCATTCTCGCTTCAGTTGCAATTTGCTCTTCGTGCTTGTTATCTACGTGCACTTCAAGGAACGCAAGATATAGGACACCTTTTCTACAGGAACTTCTCGTGGGGACCGTGAGACAACGGCCTTATCTAGTCGATCTTTTTATCAACGGCTTGTTTTGATACTTTGTTGGTAGCTTGCTGGAATGTTGGTTACTTGGTACAATGTGAACGGCGGCGGCGCAATCGTAGTGCGAGGTTACTGCGGAGTTGGCAAAGTGCGTCGTAGCACGCGTTTCTGGGTGCCACTTGAGATCACAGAAGATACCACTGTTGCGGTTAAACGATTGCGAGAAAAGTTAGCCGCAAAGCGCTTTTTTGACCGGGCTGTGGCGGCTGCATTTCTGATGGAGGTGAAAATGCTGTAGGCCAGTGTGCTCACATTTGGGCTCACGTTAAAGAACCCCAGGTGGTCAAAATTTCTGGAGCCCTCCACTACGGCGTCTCTCATAATCATATGGTGGTTTTGGCATGTTAAACCCCACATATCTATGGCGTGCGCGAACTGTGGGAGGACAGCTTGCAGAAGATAACGCCTCCAACTACCCAAGATGAGTGAAGTGCAACAAAGAAGCCGTTTCCAAACATTGCATGCATATGTCAATTGCAAAAGGCTAAGTGACCTAACTTTTTTCTGCATTACCGCATTTCTTGCTCATCCTGAAGAAGCGTTTATAAAATTTGTCTCGCGTAATAAATGCACCGCCAACTTCAATTTTTCTAGAAGAAAAGTGTGTCCATTACACAAATAAATGCGGTAGTCTCCCACTGAATTGGCATGTCTCCTGCCAACAAGCGTTTCGCCACATACTTGCCACATGTGGCTCAACCATAACATGCCAACTCTCTCGCACCGCATAGGGCAGCCTCTGATTTGTCGAACTCGTGGGCACAGATGGTGCAATAAAAATGAACCTGCCACCTCACTTTGTTATTACAGTTGAACCCCTTTATAACAGACCCTGACGTAAAAGACCAATGGGTATAAGAGACTCGTGTCCCTACATTGAAATCGGGGTTGATAAGATAATGCATATGTGGTAACCTGCTTATAAAAGACATCTGATATGAAAGAGAAGAAGTGCTCCCTGGTTTCTTATAAAGTGGTTCAACTCTACAATATTTTTTCTTGATGCCATCATGGGGGTAAACAAGAGAGTGGGTGCATTGCTGGTTGATGCAGCTGAGATTTACATAGCACTGGCATGACTAACTTCTCGGAAATGTGCCATAAAGGCATTGATTGGATTCAAAGATATCTTTTTTGTTCAATGTTTCACGTAATTCATTGGCTGATTGACAAGGCAGTTTGATTCTAGCTTGCATTTGAATAACAGAGAGCTGAGCTAATTGTTAAGTATTCATTCCAAAAAGACAGGGCATGCAATCACGGACACAAGAAACAAAGTCGGCACCTCACAAATGCTGTGTATCCAGGATAGTCTGGTTTGTGGCGTCTTGAGTGCTTTCTTTTGTCTGTATTTGCACACCCTGGCCTTTGACATGAATGAATAGTTTGGATTTGCTCTAGAGCAGGCAACAGTTTATGGCAGACTAACACAGCTTTTTTGCACAATTTGCATTCCTGACAGACTGATACCTGTTGTAGTCTCCACTTTACTGCCAACACTGTGAGACGAGGTATGGCTTGGAAAAGAGACAAAAGCCGGTACAGTTGTAAGTTGACTGTAGACTTAAATAATTAATGGAAAATCTGCATTAATTTGTCATAAACACTTGCTGCATGCAGTACAGCTGCAGTTGATATACGAGAGAGCCTAGGACGCGGCAACTGCATTCTCGCACAGTTGATTGGCAAAGCATTTTCAAAAACTGGCTCACAAAGCACACCCAAGAGGCTTAATTGACAGCATGCCTGGTTTTGCCGGGGGATGGGTGGATTGCTAAAATTATGAAGATTTTTTAAGACGAGCCTTGTAGTGTTTTTGTGCCTTAGCTTTACGTATGAGAAAAGGTACTTCTTTTCATGCTGCTGTTAGAGCATACATCTTTCAGTCGATGCTGCGACATACCGTATATACTCGAATCAGGCCGACCCCCGAAATTGGCAAGGCCAGGGGAAAAAAAAAAAAAAAAAAAAATCTCGAATGTAAGCCGAGCTTTTGACACACGGAGGTCTGTCGTCACAGGCTGAATTGAAACCGTTTCATGAAGCGTGTTTTCCAGCCCCTGCTGGCTTTAAAACAGGCTCGTGAGACACCCTTCGTGATGGCAACTTCTCTGGCCTTCGCCTGAATAGTTTCAGTAATCACGGGCATTCCCACTTCCCTCTGTTCTCGAACAAAATCGGCGACAACTTCTTCCACCGCATACCCTGCCGCTGTGGTCTAGTGGCTAAGGTACTCGGCTGCTGACCCGCAGGTCGTGGGATTGAATCCCGGCTGCGGCGGCTGCATTTCCGATGGAGGCGGAAATGTTGTAGGCCCATGTGCTCAGATTTGGGAGCATGTTAAAGAACCCCAGGTGGTCAAAATTTCTGGAGACCTCCACTACGGCGTCTCTCATAATCATATGGTGGTTTTGGGACGTTAAACCCCACATATCCATCAATTTTCCACCGCATGATGTTGGCCTGTTTTTGGTCCAGTGAACGTCATGCGGGTTGCTGTACAACTGAAGAGTTCTGCACATTGTTTTTGCCATGGTCGCCCATTAATTTCGTGCACGCCGAACTCTTGCTGCGCTCGTAGGTTTGATGTCTTTTCCGCTTAAACACCGCGCTGTAGTGGCGCCACTTGGTTGGTGCCATCGAATTTGAAGCACGATTGACAAAGGCGTTTCGCGAGCAAGAGGCACAACTACACTGCACGATCGCTTTCAGAAGAACAACCATTGACCAACTCCGCGCCTCCTCTTTGCGCCGTCCGCCACGCGATAGCCGATTGGTGGCCAAGGTGGCAACAGCCGGGTTGAATTTTACTTCTTTTTTAATTTTTTAGAAACCGGGCTTGGCTGGGAATTGATTTCATTTTAAACTCCAGTAAGCAAATTGGGTATTCTGAGCCCACAGAAAAAAACAGTTTAGTCATTGTTTACCAAGTATTACAGCTAGGTGGCGTTAGCCGCCGCCTGATTTAAAGGGTACATTTAAGGCAATCCATCTATCCATTGGCGGTAATCACGTGACAGGAACCACGTCTTCTCGTTTTTTCATGGCTTTTCCAACGTGAAATCTTGCCGGCTCGACGACCTTCGCTCTCTCGCTGCGTGAACGTGGGACTGCGTGATTTCGTGACAATGGATCGTACGAAAGCGATAGGGACCGTTATTTTACCGCTGAACAGGCCTGAGCGGCTTTGTCACCGCACAGCTATCGTAGAATGTCGTGAAAATGAACCTCCGGCATGTGAAACCGGTACCTTGAGATCGGCGCCTCGAGGGCAGTAATTCTCCTAGCGTGGCCGGGCCTCCAGGCAAGTTGCAACGGCGGCCAAATTGTAGTACTCAAATCTAAGCCGACCCCCCCACTTTCGCACATCATTTTTTCGAAAAAAACATCGTCTTAGATTTGAGTATATATGGTAATTTGCAGCAGCTGGTAGTGACAGCCTTCTCACGATATTTAGGGCAATGAGCACCTGGCTGCCAGCCTGGAAACCCTGCTGGTGGAAGGCCAGCGGTTGCGGAGTGCTGCCCACTGGCGTCTGCTCGCCGAGGGAGCCCCTTCCCTGTTGCTGGAACAGCCACAGCTGGCCGAGCTGACTTACAGGGGGACACCCTCTCTGGCCGACACCGAGAGCTTTGTCTCTGCTGAGGGCACCTCCGATGTGAGCACCTTATTTTGGCTTCAACATGTTGTGCCTCGCCCTTTTCAACCTTGAGCTAGGTTTAGCCTTTGCCCTTTTTCTGTGCAGCTGCTTGCAACTTGACTGCGAGAGCCACAAATTATATAAAAGTGTTTTTGGGGTCCTGAAAATTTGGCATTTGAACCTCATTTAACAAATTGCTCCAAACATTTTCTTATTACGTAGAAGTCGAGGAAACAGCACTTGTCAAGTCGGCGGCATACCAAGTAGTCATCAACATACCCAGGCGTGCAACAGGTGCATCAATTGTGCCAATTTGATACAAATTCTCATTTCTGCGCCAAGCTGTGCCAAAACCATAAGATTTGCTGAAAATGCGCCACTCTGTGCCAAAATGCCCAACCAGCCTCAAAATTTTTTCAGTGGCGCTGATTTCAGCAAGACATAGAGGCCATGTTGGTCATCTGCAGTTTTGCGTCATCAATAAATCCAAGCACGCAGACCCTAACCGTAAACCACAATGTCAGATATATTCCCATCAGGTCAGGGCACTCGTTAGATGCGATCAACCAGCTGAAGTAACAAACCCGCGCGCCCATCAGTCCACTGACCGCAGCAAATACCTATCAGCCGGACGGGGCAACTTCTAGACAAAAATGCGTTGCCATAGCCACCAACACTTCACAGGGATTGTGAACTTTCTAGTCAGCAAACGTGGCTATGCCATGTTAACAACTAGAACTGGGAGCACATACCGCATTTTTAGTGCACAAAGAAAGTTGACGTGCTGCGAATGATGGTGTTGCCGGCGACCATGTTGGTCGCCTTAACAAAGGCACATAAAAATTTTTTTCTGTCTGCATCATCCTGGCGATAAACATCCGGTGCTGTCGCCTGATCAAGGGGCGCGTACCATTACTTTATTTGGTAGAACGCGTCTTGCAAGTGAGCTGACAAGTTGTGGCCTAAACTTAACCCCATTGTGAAAAAAAAAAAAATAAAAAAGAGGAGAAGGGGGCGTAGTGGAGTTCGAAAATTTCTTGGCCCTGCTTTAACCCGTGCAGAACGCTGGTTAAGCCACTTTTGCTGCACTACACGAATGCCCTGCGGAGCAGCGCATTATGATTTGGAAGGGGCTCTTAGAATTAGTCACGGGACACAGATCATTTTGTTCAATATTTCATGCGTGTATATGCCACATGACTATGAGTACTAGTATGATTGCTGACTTCTAAAAACGTTACGTGCAATCATTTTGAGCTGTGTATGAGATTGCTGGCGGCTTAAAAAAACTGCGCCATTTTTTTTCACCACCCCTACTTCTCAGTTTCACTAATCGACTGATTTTCATGGTCGCTAGCTTGTCATGTCTACATTTGAATTCGCAAAGTCTACCAAAGTGTTTGAAAAATGCAGCAATTGCTAATGGGAACTTTATGATTGTTTGCTCGGGGGGGGGGGGGGGGTGATTCAGAATACTACTTTTATTGAAATAGCATCGCACATGTTTACTCTGCACGATTCATGCGATGCTGAATGGTTTGTACAAACTTGTTTCTGTATGTAAGCCTTCTCTTTTTGTACTGCTCCAAATTTGGTCTTTCGAGATAAAAAAATAGGTGTTTTTTCCCGGAACCTGCTCTAAATTTGCATTTTAGTGCTCCAAAAGTTAAATTTTGCTGCTCCAAAAAATCGCTCCAAATTTCATTTTGGCAGTCGCACCCCTGCATACTGGAAAATTCTTGCTATGCCTACTCACCCCTACTGAGAACAAACTCAGCAATCTTTATAGTCTAGAAATAAGTCACTCAATTAAGGCACAGTACAAGAGCCTACGGAATTATCAGTTCTTTGAATCAAGTTTAAGTCCTCCCGAGATCTGAATATCAAAGAAGATATAAGTAGAGAAGTTTTAAGAATATGTCTGTAATAAGACCGGTTTCATTGGGAACTTCAGTACAATAGCAGTACAATGAGTGTCAATAGCGTTTTCTACACACTGGACAACTGGGCAAGTTCATCTGCAGTATGAAATAAAAAAGAAGTCATTAAGGTCTAAAGAAGTTGCCATTGGCATCGTTTAAACATTCTTTGGCATCATTGAAATAGGTTATCAGGAAAGGTTCATCGATTATTAGGACTTTGTTTTGCCTGCAGGAAATAGGTGACGAATTTCTGCAAGCAACTGCTTTCAGAAACAATTACACAGAAATAAGCTGCCATTTTTATACGTTTTAGTCATTAAGAGCATTTTTAATTTTTGTTAGATATATGGGGTTTAACGTCCCAATATCACCATATGACCATGGGAGATGCCTTATTGGAAAGGTCTTAAAATTTCGACCACCTGGGGGTTCTTTAACGTGCACCCAAATCTGAGCACACAAGCCTACAGCATTTTCGCTTGCATCGAAAATGCAGCCGCCGCAGCCGGGATTCAATCCTGCGACCTGCTGGTCAGCAGCCGAGTACCTTAGCCACTAGACCACCGTGGCGGGGCAAGAACATTTTTTAACTAATGTCTTTGCTTTCTCCCATTTCCCAACAGAGCTTATAAATCAAGTCTTTTTGCAAAACCTGCTTGATTTTTTCTTTACTTTTGCTATTCACATATTGTCCCCTTTTAGTAGTGAAGAGTTTAGTATATTTATACTAGCATTGTACACACAGCTGGAAAGTATAGTTTTCTGTCGGCTCCTTTTGCGAAAAGACTGATGATCTTCGCTTCACCTCTGCTGTCGTGTGAGCTGCTGCGTCAAACCATACATGGGTTCTACCAGCGCATTCGCTCTCAGAAAGCAGGTAATTGTGCTCTCTACGCTTTTTGCGTGCTCTTCTGCTCTTTGTGCAAAAGCAGCTTTTTGCCATGCTCCCTAGGAAGATACTGGCACGTTGTCGTGCAATGGTGCAGAGACATGTTCCGACTCTCGGGGTCTGTTCATTGCCGGCTTTAACAGCTGTAACTGAAATCTTGTTTCAAGAGCTGTCTGGTGCTTTCATGCACAGCATTCTCATCGAAACTATGCAGCCATTGTTACACAGTTTCCCCGAGCACCAAATTTTGTGTACTGCCACAATAGGAACGTTAAGGACATGTTAATGCATGAAAAAGCCCTCATTCTACGACACACGTACAATTGACTCTCGTTAATTCAAACTCGAAGGGACCTCTGAGTTTTGTTTGTGAATAATCAAGAAGTTTGAATTATCAGAAGTTCTCAGATATATGAATCTGGGTTAGGTGACACCACTCGCACATACCTGTCAACTCTTCAGATTTTTTTCGTAAACTGTACGAATTTCGACCGTGCTTATAATTTTATGAATCTTGCGTGAAATTTTATGAAAAATATTTCATTTCGGATAAAAAAAAAAATTAGTAAAATAGTGTGGCCTCCGCGCTTGCATAGGCGCATTGCCGTAGCTAGTGGCGGAGGCCACAAAAACGGTGTTGTGCTATATTCCACTACCAGGAGAGAACACTATGTATTGGTGTTATCGTCATACATACCTACCAAGTCTCCCTGCCCGTGAGACTCCCGCATTTCGACCATTTCTTCTGTTTCTATGGTTGCCATGAAAATTTCCCGGAAATCTAAATTTGTGAGCGAGATCTGGCCACATTGACAAGAATGCAGGTCAGTCAATTCCAGGCTTCTTGCGAGCCCATCGAATTTATTATAAACTAGTTTGAGAGGTGTTCATTTAAAGGTATAGCAGAGTCTCAGTGTTGTGAAACCGCGGCAGATACGAATTGGTGAATTCCCCAGCCAAATTCATGTGTCCATTGGGCCAAAATTCGAATGTTCCGAACATTTTTCCTAGTCCTGGTGTGTGATATGAACCTTCGTACCAAAACCCTCGAGCGAGAGCTGATCGAGAGCAGCGTGCTCGAAGCTTCGAAAGTACCCGTGCGACCAGCGCACACGCTGTCTTCTACGGTGCGTGTGGTTGTCATTGCCACAACTGCTGTGGGAGAAACCGCGCTCGTTCGACACGATCATCTATGGCGAGAACGTTACTGACAGAACTTCGAAAGTGTGCGCGCATTCAACAATCGACCAGTCAAAGCAACGCTGCTTTCCGCGAATTCTGTGGACAAAACCGCTGCAGACGCGATGATAGATAGCATAACGTGACTTAGTTTGGAAGGCACGTAGATTGAAAATAAAACTGCCGTTTGCCTCAACCAGCCCGCACGAAATTGTGGTGCACGTTGCAATGCAAATTGCACGCTGCACGTTTCGATCAGCTTGCCATGGTCAGACTTACATTCTAAGTTGTTATTATTGCATTCATTGCTTCACCCCTGCGGCGAAACGGTGGCTTTTTTATCTAGTTGTTTTGATGACGCGAAACTTTGGGAGCATTTGCACGCCCCCTTTGATATCTCTCTGGGAAACACTACCCTCGTGTGTTCGGCCACTCCAAGCTATTATGATACTGCAACGCCGATGTTTGCGCTTGCGTTTGGGACCCCCCCCCTCCTCCTCCTCTTATTTTTGTTTTTTGCAATGTTTTTTTTTTGTTTACTTTTTTTGGTGACAAAAATGGAGAAAAATAATTCAGCGTGCCGATTTGACATATGGCGGCAAAACATTATTATGCTTATCGTTAAAGGCGAATCCATCACAGCTACAAATAAAAAAAAAGTTGGTAATCCCCCACCCCATCCCCGCTTGGGTTTTTTAAGAATTTCTATGTTGCCAAGTTGGCAGGTATGCATGTATTACGATTAGGCATTGATTTTATCACGTTTTACCAGCACGTGATTTTATCACAAAAGTGATTGTTGGCATCGCGAGTGATTTCAATGTTAACCTGATGTCACATGATGATATCATTGTGTTACATTGTAGCTTGGTCAAATGTGGTCTAATCGCAGTGGCACTGCAAAACCCTATGAGGTGCAGAAAACTTTTGGGGAGTGGTGACAGATGGGAGGGTCAGTTTAATTGACGGAGAAGAAAAAGATGGCTTTTGTCTTCGAGTCATGTTGGGCTAAAGCATAAAAGATCATGCCACTTCTTTTTTGTGTTACATTGCAGCATTCCAGATGTTCTTTTTGCTTTCCATAAAGGCAGCCAGGAGCCACACTTAATTGTTGTAACCAGTAACGCACTTTAGTAATATTGTAGTGGGCACTTTGTTTCATTAAAGAGCAGGCTCAAAAGCTCACAGCGCTGTGGTGGCTTACTGCTGTATCCAGCATTGCATGAAAACTCTTACTACCATTATGTGAAGGCTGAGCTGCATGCAACCAGGCACACACTGTGGAGGAGCCACCCATCATAAGCCTTGTTCACTCACACCACCAGGTGGCAGTTTTGGCTGACCTGGAGGCCAGCCTTACTCCGCCAGCTGACCGGTCGGCCCTGTACTTTGAGGCATTGGAGCTGCTTGAAAAAGAAGGCATCCCTTGTCGAACATTCAGGTGAGCTCAACTAGATCAAACACAGCTGCTGCGGTCGAACCTCAAAGTTGCACGTGCAGTGAAAAACTTCATTGTTCCGCAAACTTCATTGTATCAAAGTCTCTTTCTCTTTAATTTGCCCAAATGGTGTTATCAGCTTACTTTATGCAGACTGCAGGACGAAAGCCTCGCTCAATAACATCCAACACACTCTGTCCTGCTTTATTTTACGCCTGCGTATTGTTTAATTTTGTCACTCTACCGAACCTCCGTTCATCCTCACCTGCCTATCCCATCTCTTGGGTATCTATTCGAACACTCTAACAGGCCATTGATTATCTCAGGACATCACTTTTCCAGGTCCATTTTTATCTCTTCATATCAGCTAGCACATCAGCTGCCCCTATATGTGCCCTGAGCCTCTTCAGTCTGCTTGTCTCGTACAGTTACGCTCATAACCTTTTGTTCCTTTGCACATCATGTAGTTCTTGACCTCATCACTTTCTTTCTTATTCTACAAGTTACTGCTCCATGCGCATGATCCCTGCTGTTACGAAATTGGCAGGGAAAGCAAAAATTTTTTCGCAAAAATTTTCTTATTAACAGTGACTCAGTGCAAGGACACAATCAACAATACAGTAGACTTGCAATAGTTCAAACTCTGAAAATTCATACTTTTGGTTAATTCAAACAAAGTTCAATTTTTGGTTGGCCCTCTATTCTTTTGAATGTATTTGAAAGCCTCTTGATTCAAACTCCATCATTCGGTCCATTCATACTTTTTGCGGTTTCATACCAAAAGATATCTGCTGCTTTCCCTCTAATATTAAAAATTTGTGTGTTTATATAATCATAACTGTTTAGAAACGAAAAATAAGTGTGTCAGGCATTCAAAAAAAAAAAAAAAAGCTTTGTAAGTAAACAAACATTTGAAACAAAGCACACGCATTGTAAAACGTGATGCTTCTCAACTGGTATGATGAGCTTTGTGCTGAAGGCACATATAGCAAACAGGCAGTTGGCAATTCATGATTTCTTTAAAAGACCTGATCAGCAGTAAATGACCGATAAACTTGTGGACCTTACACCTCTGCTTTCTGTTCATTGCGTGCAGTTAGGGTTTAAACTGCTTAAAAATTTTTTTATACTGATAAAGTCAATGCCTAATCATAAAATTTGTTGCGACTTCACACATAGTCATATATCTGAGAACTCCTGATAATTCAAGCTTTTTTATAATTCAAACAAAATTCAGAGGTGCCTTCAAGTTTGAATTAACGAGAGTCGACTACAAATATTTAAAGCCAAAATTCAGTTAGCTTGCCTGTCGATCCTTGACAAGTAAAGTCAATCCCACCTCTAAAGAACTCGCCAAAAAAGGAAGACTAGCTCGATATATGATTTTATATAAAACACAATAGTACAAGGAAGGTGACTCTACGTCAGTGTTTTTTTTTAACACGAAAGTGTTTTATGTCGGGGTCCACCGCACCTTTGCTGAAATATTTCCATCATGGGTATGATGTAAAATATATAGCAATAATAGATTGCAAAAAAAAAATTGAAGCAATAGTTCCTCAATGGGGCATCGAACCAGCAACCTTGTGCTCCTCAGCACGCAATGCTATTCACTAAGCTACAGAACAAACCTTCTCCAATGTGTTAGCGGTGAGCCATTTATATACACCATGTACCGCTGGCAGTCCTCTGAGCTCAGAAACTTCAGCACGTTTTTGTCATCACTAGCGAGATGTCACGACGGCCGCATGTTGGATGTGCGCGCTTTGAAGGTTGTCGCACCGTGCCACCCTCCACGTTGCTGTCGCACCGTGCCACCCTCCACGTTGCTATGGGCGTGCGCCTCCACATGGCATGATCAAAGTGCATATAAATATTCTCTAGCGTGGTGGCTCACTCGGGCGAGCGCTCATCTCGGGATTTGCATGCTTTGTACCTATTGTGCTTCCACCGCAAGTTTGCTTTGAAGTTACAGAAGTTGAAGAGGGCACGAACGTAAATTTGCTCACTGCCACGGCCGACTTTACGAAAGGAGCGCGCTGCTCACACACGAAGTAAGGATTTGTGCTAGATGTTTGTCCGTCCTTGTCCACTGTATACTCATTTCATGTGTGCTTTCTTCTTGAGGTGGGCACTGCAAGTTTCGAGCTACTTGCCATTCTTTGCGTGACATTGCAATTTGTTGCTGTAGCATTCATTCTTTCGCCCTTGTGGCAAAACAATGCACAGCAAACGCAGAACTACTTCTGTGAGGACCCGTTGCACTTTTGTGTTATACAGATTCCTAAAAAGAAGGATCAGCCACATTTTTTTTTTCATGCTTTTTTATTGCGTCTGTACACTTGTGAACCACTAGCACCTGGCCATTTGTAATGCTCCGTTTTCCTTCGGTGTAGATGTGTACCGGTGCTCCATAATTTTTCAGCACTGTTACTACACCAGAGTTTTGCTTATGCTCTTAGCACCAATGCACGTGCAGGGTGGAAGTGGTTCGGTGCATCTCGCGGGAGGACTACCTGGCCAAGATTCACTGCATTCGCCTTGCGTTCAAGGTGAGGTCTGTAGTAACTTCCACGTCATTTAGTGCACACAACTTGCCATATGTTGCAACTTGGCCTTGTTTGTTTAATACCACATTTGCTCGCGTAATTCTCGCACCCCCTGACGTTGCCCAACAAAAATAAGATTTTTAAATTTTTTCCGCGAGTTGCACTCCCGAAAATTGCAGCAGTAATCTCGTCTCCCTCTTCCAACCACTGATAATAATATAGCGCAAGACAGCCTAGTGGCATCTCTTAAGCATATGCATTCTATTTATGCACAGAGCCCCAATTCAATTCAAACCAAACCAAAATCATAAGTACGTGTTGCGGCATGTTGATGCTAGCAGTGTTGGTCTGTGTAGCTTTGGTGTAGCGTAGTACGTTGTGTCCACTCTGTGGTTACGTTATGGGGCAATACAGAAGTTACAGCTGCTTTCAAGTTGAAAGTGATTGATCATGCACTAAACAGTGGCCACAGGGCGCCTGTAGGCACTTCGGTGTCAACGAGTTTTGTGTTTGCTACTGGCGACGGCAGCTAAAAGCCACCAATGAGACGCATGGGTCCAGAACTTGCAAATATCCTCAGGGAGAGGGAGCCCTTCTTGGTTACGTCTAGGGTCTCCATGCGAAGAGAAGACCCTTGAGGCATTATTTGCAAGTGGCTTTAGTGTCCGCAAATAAATCTTGCTCTGTCTTGAACCTGTGGTTTTATTGTTAAGGTAAGTCTTGATTAGTATACATTTAAACCTGGATATAACTAAATTGACAGATTCCCAAAGAAAATCGTTTTAACGAGGGTTTCGTTAAACAGTCGACTCCTGTTAATACGAAGTTCACGGGAACCGCAAAAAACTTCGAATTAAACGAACTTCGAATTAAGCAAAAAGCACTAAAAACGGCACTTTTATTAGTTTAAAAGCGCGACAGTTTTGAGGAAAAATAGTTTGTCATCTTCTTCTGCTTGCCGAATCTGGCTGCGGCTAGCAAGTTTTGTACGGAATACACGTGTCGAAGTGCTTCTTTGGCGTTCTGTTCTCCAACAAAAAACCGCTGCGCAAGAGCAAGACCCGCAGCTACATCGGCAGCCCTCGGTGGTGGCTCATTTCCGATGTCGTCGTCATCATCGTCATTTTCAGGAATGCAGTCATGGGGCCGAACCATCTGCACGATTTCGCTGTCCGTTAGTGGACCGCATGTTTCGACGTTGCTGTCCACAGCGACATACTCGTCAAAACGGACGTCACCGAGAGCGGCGCGAAAGCTACCGTTGTCGAGCTCATTTGTTTGCACTTCCACTGGCGCACAAGGAGAAGCATCCCCCGAGTTTTCAATGAAACCACAGGCCCGGAAACAATTGGCGATTGTTTCTTCTTTCACGCGGGTCCAAGCTCGCGCTAGCATGTTGATGGCACTAAGCAAACTCACCTCGTATTGCGACGAGTTGTCCATGCACAAAAGCATGCGCTCGACGAGATGCTGCCTATACAATACCTTCACATTTTTTATTATGCCCTGGTCCATGGGCTGCAACACGGACGTCGTGTTTGCAGGCAGGACCACAAGACGGATGGCACTCAAGGCAGGTACGTTCATGTGGGCACTACATTGGTTCACAAGGAACAACACCATACGGCTTGATTGCGCGAATGTGCGGTCGAGTTTGGTGATCCAGTCCTTAAATATATCGGATGTCATCCACGCCTTTCTGTTCGAGGCATAATCCACAGGAAGCGTCTTCACGCCTTTAAAGCACCTAGGCTTGGCAGCCTTCCCGATCACAAGCAGGCGACACCGTTCTGTGCCAGTCATGTTCGCCGCGACTAGCACTGACACTCTCTCTTTGCTTCTTTTGCCTCCAGAACAGTCGTTAGCAGCCGATAAAAAAGCGCAGTCTCGTCTGCATTAAAAATGTCTGCCGGTTGGCATTCTTCGAGGTACTCGCGAAGCTTGCCCGCTTTCCATGTCAGGCACGTTTCCTCATCGACTGACGCCTTCTCCCCACGCACGCTTTTAAAAATCAAGTCGTGGCGATGTTTGAAACGCGTAAGCCACCCATCCGAAGCAGCGAAGTCGTTGATTTCAGCAAGCGATGACGCTTTTGCCGTGACGACTTAACCACTGAGAGGAAGTTTGTTTCGTGCCTCTCTGACCCAAATCAGCAGTGCTTCCTCCAACTCGGGGTAGGCGCCGGTGCGCATCCGCTTCCGCGATGTCTTGAATTTTTCACTTTCAAATGCATCCAATATTGAGCGCTTATTCTTTATGAAAGTCGACAGCGTGCTAGGCTTAATGCCGTACTTTCATGCAATGTCTTGTTTGGCGGTGCCTCCCTGGTCAACTTCCTTCAAGACTTCGACTTTCGTCGCGAGAGGTGGCGTCGAGGAGCGCGGACGTGAAAACGTCGGCTCCCGCTTTTCTAAATGTTTTCGGTCGTTTCTATGCTTCAAGATCACTTGGCTTTGTGCTTATTCGAACAAGCAAGCTCTGCGGTTTCAGTGGAGACGCCATTTTTGGCGGTGAGTGAATTCTTAGACATATTTTTGGACTTTAAAATTGTGACGCGGCGAGCGTCCCCGCTAACCCTAACCACACCTAGGGTTAGCGAGGAGTACGGCCGTTACACGTAGCCAAGGGCTCGGCCAGACGCGGCAGCTACTGGATCAACCTCCGTACGTCGCAGCCGACAACCAAGCACTGAAAATGCCTTCCACCGTAACCGTGGAGGGAATGGAAGTAAGCGCGGAGATCTTCGACGGACCAGGATGGGCCACCGCCATGGGACGCCGAAGACAGACGACTCCGCCGAACGAGAAGCTGGCCGCTGGGACGGTCGAGCACAGCAACCAGCCGAAGCACCCCAAGGGCTTTAAAAAAAGTCAATTGGCACTACACCGTGTGGTATCCGCTTCCAGGCTACCCCGCCTACCCAAAGACCAGATCAAGGTAATTATGAGACCCAGAGGTGGATTGGACGTAGCCCGAGTCGACCTTGTTCTGCTGGCGAGAGCCGTCATCATGGCCGCCCAGATCACTGACGAACAAGCACGGGAGGACACGATCTGCCCCAACAATATGCAAAACATCATTGTTATTTCTACGCCGCACCAAAATAATGCCACATCATACGTGAACGTGCAGAAACTGCACACAAACCAAGGCTCGTTTGAAGTTGCCGCATACGTGGCCGCACCCGATAATACATGCAAGGGCGTCATCAAGAACGTTGACCTCTCCCTTGACGACGCAACGCTCAAACGCCTGATTGTGCACGACCGAAATCCCACTGCCATCGAGGCAAGACGCATTAAAAAGACCAAAGTCGTCGCAATCCTCTTTGACGGGTTGCGCGTTCCGAGCACAGTGATATGCGGAACCGCCATGGTTCCCTGCTCGCTCTACAAGCGACAAGTCGATGTTTGCAGAACGTGCGGAGGAGTCGGCCATCGCGCCGATGTTTGCCGGCACACAAACGCAACGAGCAAGAAATGTCACAACTGCGGTGAAACGCTACAAGAAGACGGCGTGCATCACTGCGAGCCGAAATGCAAGCTTTGCGATGGCAATCACCCCACCGGAGATCGCGAATGCAAAAGACGCTTCCACATTCTATACTTAGTGAGAAGGAGAAGAAGACACAGAAAGCAAGAGTGGCAAGCACAACAACGTCAAGACGCACCAACGTCTGTCACGTTTAAGGAACCCTGCCACAACCAGGTGCCGGGACGGGAGAACGCCTCGAGCGTCCATCACCGTTCTCCATCCAGGGGGAGATCCCGATCTAGAGGGCGTTCCCGATCCAGAAGGCGTTTTCGATCCAGAGGCCGTTCTCGTTCTGGAGGGCGCCCCTCAACCCTGTCGGGATCCGACAACCGCCTGTCATCTCGGGAGTGCTCCAGATCCCGATCGAGAACGAGGCCAACAGCCACGCAGCAGCAGCAGCAGCCGAACAATGGCTCCTGGGCCAGCAGGGTTGCAGCTGAAGCACGAAGCACAAGTAGCCAGCCCAAAGGTAAGGCACAGCCAGAGCATGCTCCCGATTCTCGTATTGTAGCGCTTGAACAAGAAAACAGGGCCCTCAAAAAGGAGCTTGAACAGCTCCGGGCCTCAATAGCTGGAATAGAGAGCTGTCACGGAATTAATCTGTCGAGCTCACCGGCACCAACGACAACACGCTCACAACAAACGATCCACAACACACACAAACGCAAAGCCGTAGACAGCGACAGCGACACGACGGAGGAGATCGAGATGGTCTCGATAGAAAAAAAAGCCCTACTGAAAAATGTCGAGTCCGTGACAACTAAGCTCAACGACAAAATTGATACGTTGGCGAACACGCTTGCCAAGTTTATGGAAACCTTTAAGACTTACACTGACAAAGCTGACCAGAGGTTCGTGAGCCTGGAGAAGATGGCAACCAACCCAGCTGGGGCAGGTGCTCCTCAGAGCCTAAGCACGGACAAACCAGCGGTTACGGCAAGTGTGCCGAGCATACCTTCTAGAGCTAACGTCCGACCAGTCAATGCACGCAATCTCGCGGAAATAACGAGCCGCGACGCACACAAGCTATCAAGCCAAAATGGCTGCTGACCGTAACGAGATTAAGATCTGGCAGTGGAACTGTAACTCACCTCAGAAACGCAATGCAGCACTAACACAACTATTACTAGCCTGTAAAAAAAAGCCGCATATAATATTACTACAGGAATGTGGAGAAAGCAAAACTGCTAAAAGCATTGGCATACAGGGGTACAGGGTAGCCAGGCCGACCCTGCACCCCGAGCAGAACAAGACGCGAGGAGTGGCTACCTTCATCCGGAAGGACATAATGTTCGCCGAAAGGGACGCCCCCGCATACAAAAAAGGCCTGGAAACGGTCCTGGTGGAAATCTTACCACACAGGGCTGTTAAAAGAAGCATCTTTGTGCTCAATGTTTACAGCTCTCCATCAGATAAGAAAAGAGATTTCAACAGACTGCTTACCTCGGTGGTAAAAATGGTGGGTGACA